CCCGCCTCTTCCTCGTCTTTGTCTCTTCTCTCTCTCTCTCCCCATCCCCGTCCCCCGCTGCCTTCGCCGCCGCCGCCATCACCATGACCAAGATCAACCTCACTTGGAATAAGAAGAATTTCCCCGGTGTGGAGATCGACACCTCCAACCCCGACCAGGCCTTCGAGCAGCTGCAGAAGACCATCTGTGACCTGACCAGCGTCGAGCCGGCCAACCAGAAGATCTTCTTCGCTCGACGCATGCTTCGCTCTGGCGCGGACCTGACCGCGGCCGGTGGCCTCACCGAGGTGCGCTGCCTGCCGTGGCCCCCCCCCCCCCCCCCCCCCTTCTCCGCCCCTCCTACTCTTCTGCCATGCCCGGCCATCCCGCGGCCCTTTGCCCACTTGCTCACCCCGGTCCCGCCTCGGCCCCTTCATCATCCTCAGAATGCCACCGTCATGCTGGTCGGCACGGCCACCGCCACGCTCAAGGCCATGGCCGACGCGGCTTCCTCGGCCGCGGCTCGCGCCCCCGAGCAGAGCGATAGCATGGATGTCGCGGCGGACATCCCCTCCGGCGTGCGTCTCCCCCTGCTCCCATGTGACCTGGGGCCTGGTCGGCCCACACCACCGGTTCCGCTCGCCCGCCCGCCCGCCCGCCCGCCCTCTTGCCCTGACCCCCTCCCACTGCCATGGTTGGCCTTTTTCCGGTCCCGCTTTTGCCTCCACCCGCCCCCCCCCCCTTCTGCCTCCCAGCCGCACCCCCTCAAGAACATCGGCAACACCTGCTACCTGAATGCCACCATCCAGAGCCTGCGCCTGGTGCCGGAGCTCCGGGACGAGCTGCGCAATGCCATGGTCACCCCCGGGGCGTCCGGGCGCTTCCCGGTGGCCCATCAGCTCCATGGGATCCTCAGCGCCCAGCCCGGGTCCGACAGCAATGTCAAGCCGGACCCCCTGGTGCAGGCCCTGCGCCGGGCGCATCCGCAATTTGCCCAGGTGGCCTCCGGCGGGGGGCCTTCCTCCGGTGGCAAGTGGGATGCCTCCAGCATGGCCAACCTCAGCACGCAGGACCTGGCCGCGGCGCTCATGCCTCCCCAGTACATCCACCAGGATGCCCAGGAATGCTGGTCGGCCTTGGTGCAGGACGCCGATCGGGCTACCGGCAATGCGTCGGCCGTGTCGCGGCTCTTCAACATTGTGACCACCATCTCGCGGTGCGTGCCGCCCGGTGGGCTTACTCTTGCCCGGTTGTGCATGTGTGACAAGTGCCACATGTGCACAGCCATGCGTGTGCCGCCGTCTTTCCGCCTCTCTCCCTCTCCCTCTCTCCCTCTCTCTCTCCCTCTCTCTCTCTCCCTCTCTCTCTCTCCCTCTC